TTGTTTTACCTCAAGGCGACTGTCAATAGTGTCAAACTGTCAGATCATGTACAGGGTTATTGGTTATAAATGTCACCACCCTCTATTTTTTTTATTTGACATTTTAGAAAAAAGTGTCTCAAATAAAAGTTTTATGGTTGAAATTATATTTTCTGAAAAACTCACTTTCGCATATACAGGGTGTTTCAGAAAAGCTGCTCGTGCTCCAAATTTCTTATTTCAAATAGAATACCCTGTATGGATATTCGGATTCTACGTAAAATTCTGAGCAGATTTCATGTAATATACCCTATACCTAAGTTCAACTGTTTTCGAAATATTGACAGTTGAAAATTGACTTTTTTGCAACTTTGACAGGCTGTAAATCCTAAACGGTTAATTTTAGAGCAAAACCGATCTTACATTTTGATCTTAGATTTTTATAAACTATCAGTTGACACCAGTATTTGACATCAACTTTGAATTTAATCCATGATTTAAAATTCCAAGTAAATTTAATCTTCGGTTAAATTCAAAGTCGGTGTCAAATGATAACTTGTGAAAATCTTAGAAAAAAATGTAAAATCGGTTTTGCTCAAAAGTTAACCGTGTAGGTTTTACAGCCTGTCAAATTTGCAAAAAAGTCAATTTTCAACTGTCAATATTTCCAAAACAGTTGAACTTAGGTATAGGGTATATCACATGAAATCTGCTCAGAATTTGACGTAGAATCCGAATATTGAATAATATACAGGGTATTCAATTTAAAATAAGAAAGTTAGAGCACGACCAGCTTTTTTGAAACACCCTGTATAAACAAAAGTGAGTTTTTCAAAAAATTCAATTTCAACCATAAATTTTCTATTTGGGACACTTTTTTCTAAAATGTCAAATAAGAAAGATAGAGGGGGGTGACATTTATAACCAATAACCCAGGGCTGCGTTCGGGATTGGCTACAGCCAAGCTAAAATTGGCATTTTGCGTTCGAGTTCGGCTCCAAACTACGTGGTTCAGCATTACCGGCGGAGGGGGAAAAAGTAGGTTTTGGCATTAGCTTTGCCGTCCATGAACGCACCCCTGTACTTGCTCTATAGTCTATTTCCAAGATTTTGACAACCTGTCATTTGGTTACAGATGAAAATAATTCGAGAGACGACAATTCTAAGGCTATAAAGAGCTCGATGAGACCTTTAAAAAGAGGTATGACACGACCCCTATTCCCCATTCAAATTTGGGGGGTTTTTCTTCCCCTAGCTAGAAGGTTGAAGCTACGGGAATGAAAAAAACTGTAAAATATTTCCCCCTCAAATCAAAAATCAACGTATCCGAGCGTTTTTCCAGATTTTCATTCTAAATGCAATAAATCGAGGTGGACTGTTTTCCCTTGGACACCCTGTATAATTCAAAAGGACTGCAAAATGAAATCCGATTGCAGAATAGTGCGGACTACTGCGGATATTAGTGTATGGACACTAAGTGAACACTGGGACAGTGAGTCAGTATAAGCAGCGATAATCACCAAAAGAGACTTAACTGATCGTGTAAATTACCCAGGAACTGACTGTATACCCGATTTTGACTGTGATAGTGAATTTTCAAGTAAGTTCTAGAAAATTCTATTTGGAAACCAAGGGAGATATTGAATTTGTTACTTCACCGACGTGTTTGCTATATCAATTGACATTCAGAAAAGACATTTCAAGAAAATTCTAGAACATTCTATCTGCGGCTGCAACAAGTTTTCTAGTGATTCAAGAGCCGGTAATAATCATAATTTTGATGCCAGTGATCCTACCTAATCAAAATTAGATTTCATCTAGAATCGATAGCTTAAATCTGCATTTATGGCTTCCAAATCAAATTTACTTTCTTCTAATTGCCCTAAATCTCCGAAAAAGATTAAATTCTCTAGTAAATTTAAAAAATGATAATTTTCAAAAATATTGGCAAGGATGTTGCAAAAAACAAGTAGCTTCAACTTTAAAAGCATCTTACTTTTCAAGAAAACCTTATATATTAATATTTTTTCGATCCAAGGTAGGTATTGTTTCTTAGAGACTCAGAGCATCCATGGAAAACATGAGCGTATCAGAATTTAAAGAATTCAAAAATTCAACCTTTTTATGGATTGTTTTTCTCATTCATTGAAAATCTCATTTCGAGTTGTTGTTAAAGCTATTATGTTCTGTGGAGAATAAGGATTTTTTTTAAGTTTCTTTTTACAGAATTATTGAATACTAAAATTTGGCGATTTTTTGATATAAATTACTGTCTTATTTCGAATGAAACACCCTGTATATTTTTTCACTGTTAGAAAGCCTGATTTTTCTACTTTACAAAAATGTATAATTTTTCATAATTAGCTAGAAACACTGGTGGATACAGTGGGGGGGGGGGGGCAGGGGCCATATTTTAAGTTTTAAGAATGTTAGGAAAGCTAGAAACCTATAAAAAAATCACACTTTTGTCTTTGTCCCAAGAACTTTAACCTCAAACAGTATATCATTAGTTGTACAAATAAGACACTCACCTGAAACGTGTAGTTTTTGAAATAACGAGAAAAATTCTCAACTGAGTGAATCAGGTTAGTATTGTACTTGAACAACATATTGGTGAATAGATGGCTGGGTCCACCCATAAGTTCGGCAACAATCCACTCGTTTGTACTTGAATAACTTGTCACAATATATCACTAGTTTGGTAAAGTAACATTACTAATTCCTGTTAAAAGGCCAATTGACAAAAAGTGGATAATCTTACAAATTCTGACTTTATATAATAAGTTGTTGTTCAAGTACAAAAATTTAGTCAATACTATACAACTTTTGTATTTATACCTTTCATCTACTTGTAAAGGTGAAAGCTGTAGGTGGGGTGTCAATATATAAAAAAACACCCTGTACTTGAACAATAACTTGTTATATAAAGTCAGAATTTGTAAGATTATCCACTTTTTGTCAATTTGCTTTTCAACAGGAATTAGTAATGTTACTTTACTAAACTAGTAACATAATTTGACAAGTTATTCAAGTACAAACGAGTGAATTGTTGCGGAACTTATGGGTGGACCTCTGCGGGACGAGCGCAGCGAGTTCCGCAGCCGTCTAATCACCAATATACTGTTGAACTGTTCAAGTAAGACATTCAACTGAAACGTGTAATTTTTAAACTATTGAAAATAACGCACATTTGAGTGAGTCAGTTTAGTATCGTAATTAAACAACATATTGATGAATAGATGGCTGTCCACCCATATGTTCCGCAACAATTCACTCATTTGTACTTGAATAACTTGTCACATTATGTTACTAGTTTGGTAAAGTAACATTACTAATTCCTGTTGAAAGGCAAATTGACAAAAAGTGAATAATCATAATGTTACAAATTTTGACTTTATATAATAAGTTATTGTTCAAGTAGTACAAATAAGTGGATTATTGCCAAACTTATGGGTGGACCTCTGTGGGACGAGCGCAGCGAGTTCCGCAGCCATCTACTCACCAATATAGGTACTGTTGAACTATTCAAATAAGACACTCACCTGAAACTTGTAGTTTTTGAACTAATGAGAATAACTGACATTTGAGTGAGTCAGGTTAGTATATCGTATTTGAACAACGTATTAATAAATAGATGACTGGGGAACTCGCTGTGCTCGTCCCGCAGAGGTCCACCCATAAATTCCGCAACAATTTACTCATTTGTACTTGAATAACTTGTCACATTATGTTACTAGTTTGGTAAAGTAACATTACTAATTCCTGTTGAAAAGCAAATTGACAAAAAGTGGATAATCTTACAAATTCTGACTTTACATAACAAGTTATTGTTCAAGTACAGGGTGTTTTTTTATATATTGACACCTCACCTACAGCTTTCACCTTTACAAGTAGATGAAAGGTATAAATACAAAAGTTGTATAGTATTGACTAAATTTTTAGAATCCACGGTCAGAAACCAAAATTGAATGCCAGAAATGTGAAATGTTGCATACTTTCAGCTTTTTTCAAATGGGATGCCCTATATTTGGTCGTCTCCAACATATTTGGTTCTAAAAATTTTAAAAATTCTATCAGAGAAACCCAAGTACATATTGTTCGTCGTTTTTTAACTGACACTTTCCGTATGAGGAGCGAGGGGGTGAAATATATGGCAAAAACAGGTATGATGTCAGGTGATCATTGGCGTTTTAATGTAGAGTGCCACCAGCTCACATTCCTTTCGAGTATCAGATTAAAATCGACGGACTTTACGTTAAATTTTACCTGCAGCTTTCCCCTGTATAGGTAGAATAGTTCACAAAATCAGTAGTAGGATAGTATTTTTACAATTTTTGGAGCCGAATATATGAGAGACTGTTCAATCAAATATAGACAAATTATATATTTTTGGAATAGGGGCATCGTGCTCTTCAAGAATATAGAATGAAATATAGGGCATCCCATTTGAAAAAAGCTGGAAGCATACAAAATTTCACATTTCTGACATTCAAATTTTGTTTCTGACCAAGGTTTCTAAAAATTCAGCCAAAACTGTACAACTTTTGTATTTACACCTTTCTTTTACCTGTAAAGATGTAGGTGGGGTGTTATTATATAAAAAAAACACCCTGTACCTACCTATTCAAAATCCTAAATAATTCCCCAATTCCCATATTTTTATGGGCCATTCCTTCGAAAAACCGTATCTTGCACAATGCGCTGCCAAAACTAACCCAAACTAACCCAATCGGGCTTACTTTAACTTAAACTGCCCCCCCTCCCCTTTCAGAAGGCCTGTATCCGCCCCTGTCTAGAAATTGCATCGTACTTTGTTTATGAGAGTACCATCGACTGGTTAAAAAAGGATGATTTATCTCAGAAAAATATTTCAAATGGTAATAGGGAATTTGGCTTGAAATCTTTTTCGTCATTCCAAATCCTCCTCCATTTACTCAAAAATTTATTTAAAAAAATCGAAAAGGGCTGTGAAAAATCTTTGAGCCTCTCTAAATCAACAAGACCTTATATAAAATACTCACAATTAAATTGAAACTTCTTCCGCATACATAAACCGACAAAAAATATCTTAGTTTCTAAAAAAAATTAGGAAACTTTCACTTAAGATATCACAAAAACCAGCATCACATTATTATTGATTCACTTCCGCGATCGTCTTCATTTTCTGGACCGCGACCCCTCAATTTCTTCTTATCAACTCGGCGAGAGTTCGAAAACTGAACCAATTAAATAACTTTATTTCAATTTTATTTATTCAATATAATTAAATTATCAGTCGACCAGTGCATAAGCAAATGATACGCTTGTGGCCCAGAGTTTTCTTATCAATAATGTCTTTTTTTTTTTTGGGGGAATCGGTGACGTCGAAATTTCGAATTTACTTTCATTCGTGATGTTTGGTGGCTCACAACAAAATATTATGCATATCTATGTATTTTTATACTTACTCAAATTGTTATTCCAGGCAGTGCAAAAAAAAATATCGACGCAATCAAGTTCAAAAACTAAGTTGGAGGAGTTGAATCTCACTTATCGAAACAAAGTGAAGAGACCACTGCTCCACTTAATCTAATAGAACTTCTTAATTTTGTACCAGGAAAACCATTATTGTCCATACTATACAGGGGGATTTCGTATCCGAAACTAGAATTCCTCGCATGGAAGAGTTAGATCTGGCAAATAGAATACAATGCTAAGACCTATACCTTCCACCTGAGGACTTCCAGATTGACGTCATCTAGATTATTGAAGAAAATTAATAACTCACCTGCTAGCCCAAGAGCACCTGACTGAAATAAATTAAAAATTATATCTCTTCCACGTCTACACACACACACAAAAAGATAAGAAGGTTTTATTAAACGTGTAAAGAGCAAAATAAACTCTTTAGATTTGTGACAAAGATACTATTTATCTTATCTTTTTCGTTTGGAGTGCGTTAAAAACAAATTCTACATCGAGTGCTTGTGTATTTCTGAGATAATCTCATTTTCTTTTAATGGATTTTAATGCAATTATTTGTTCTTGGAGCTTCTAAAATTCTTTTACAGATTTTGTTTCTATCAGGCTCTATATATTATTATTATATAGTTTTTGAGTTTGAAGTTTCTGACTAAAATTCAACTTTGAGGCTCAATTGCTCGAAAAGTTTTTGAGCTATCAAACTCAATTTACCACAGATTCATAGAGAATTTATTGCTCTTTTCAATAATGTATAGATTATTTCGATTTGTTTAAATTTTAATGAAAACATTGGCAATTCTTCTTAACCTTGTCATGATTCAAAAAAAGAATCGGAACCAAAAAATGAATTTTTCTTTTTGATTTTTTTAAATCTTTAAATTGGTCATTTGGAAATGATGTGAGAGGTTTTTTCGACTAACTTAGGCCCGCTCTATCGATTGAAAAAGTCAAAATTTGAAAAATATAAAAAATAAAAGTTTCGATTTTTTTCAAAGAGTACCTACCTACCCCCCTTGGATTCTCATCTCAAAATCTTTAAACTTTAATATCTTGAAATCCGTGAGAGATATTGGATCAAAATTGCCAAGAATTGTAGCTCTAAAAAACCTGTATTGGAAAACATTTTCAGGTTTATAGTTATTAAGAAAATTGAGTACATGAAGTTTTTGACTAAATTTCGACTAAAGTTTAACTTCGAGGCTCAATTGCTCAAAAAGTATTTGAGCAATCAAACTCAATTTAGCAGATATTTGTAGAGAATTTGATGCTCTTTCTAATAGCGTATAAGTTATTTTGGTTTGTTCAAATTTTAATGGAAATATTGGCAATTTTCCTTAACATTGTCATGATTCAGAATTAACCAAAATTGGAAATAAATCCAAAAACCAGTAATATACTTATGAGATTTTCGAATCACAAATTTGAGATTAGAAAATAGTAGACTGGAATTTGCCAAATTCAATATGAGACCTGCCTGAAATATATTCGATGTATTCAAATCATAGACTAGAATTTGCCACAAAGGACCCCACACCTCTTATGGGTTTTTGGTCTTCTGTCAAACTCAATGAAATTTTAATATGTGGTATATGTTGACTGCCTGATAAAAATTTCTCATAGGCCCAATCCGATATTATGAATAGTTTTCGAGATACAGGTAATTTAATGTTCAAGAAATATACACATTTTATATGCATTTACATCTACCTGTCAACTGCGCGTGTGGATACCTGTCAATCCTTGTAGATTATTAGGTGACAGGTAGATGAAGACTAGAGGACTATTGAATATTATGTACAGAGGGTGTTTTTTTATGTAGGTATTGACACCCCACCTACAGCCTTCATCTTTACAGGTAGATGAAAGGAGTTGTACAGTATTGGCTAAATTTTTAGAATCCATAGTCTGAAACAAAAATTGAATGTCAGAAATATGAAATATTGCATGCTCTCAGCTTTTTTCAAATGGGATGCGCTATATTTGGTTCTATATTCTTGAAGAGCACATTTTCCCGATTCCAAAACTATATAGTTTGTCTATATTTGGTTGAGCCGTCTCCAACATATTTGGTTCTAAAAATTTTAAAAATACTATCAGAGAAACCAAGTAGGTACTTCAAATTTTACCTGCAGCTTTCACCTATACAGGTAGAATGGTTCACAAAATCAGTAGTAGGATTGTATTTTTACAATTTTTGGAGCCGAATAGGTATATGAGAGATTGCTCAATCAAATATAGATCGGGGCATTGTGCCCATTTAAAAAAAGCTAGAAGCATGCAAAATTATACATTTCTGACATTCAAATTTTGTTTCTGACCATGCTTTCTAAAAATTTAGCTAAAACTGTACAACTTTTGTATTTACACCTTTCTTCTACCTGTAAAGGTGAAGGCTGTAGGTGGGGTGTCAATATATAAAAAAACACCCTATACAAATAAGTGGATTATTGCGGAACTTATGGGTGGACCTCTATCACCACCACCATCTACTCACCAATATACTGTTGAACTGTTCAAATAAGACACTCACCTGAAACGTGTAGTTTTTGAACTAATGAGAAGTATTCATAACTGAGTAAATCAGGTTAGTATTGTACAGGGTGTTTGTTTATAACTGGAACACTCAATAACTTTATTATTATTGAGAATAGAGGGCACGTTTAAATTGGAAAATTTCTTGGTAAATTGCAATGATCTTAATCGCTACAATGAGATTTTTTTATCGCCATAAGTATACAGGGTGCCCCAAAAAAGTCATTTTTTCAAATGGATCGCCCTGTATATTTTTGTATTTTTGAAATTCCTAGAAAGTTAGCTTCACAAACATATCAAATATTATTTGGATAACAAAAATATACAGGGAATTCCATTTAATAATAATACCTTTTTGGCGCACCCTGTAAACCTATGACGACAAAAAAATATCGTTTTAGCACTTAAGGTTGCAATTTACCAAGAAATTTCCCAGCTTAAACATGCCCTTTATTTTCAATAATATAAGAAAGTTACTGAGTGTTCCAGTTATAAACAAACACCTAGTACATACTTGAACAACATATTGGTGAATAGATGGCTAGGTCCACTCATAAGTTCCGCAACAATCCACTCGTTTGTACTTGAATAACTTGTCACAATATGTATATTACTACACCTTTTCCATGTGTTATTGCGAATATATCACTTAATTTTAGGAATAGTTAAATAGTATTGCGAATAAATCAAATCTAATTGAGAATAGTCACTTGATATTGCGAATATATTAAATGTCATTGAGAAAAGTTAAATATAATTGCGAGCACATCAGATGTAATTGAGAATAGTTAAGTGTAATTGCGAATATATAATTGGGGATAATCAAATAAAATTAGTGATAAATCAGATGTAATTGAGCCTTCTAATTTTTCAATCAACATCTGTATGTTGTTGCTAAAATAACTAAGTCTGTTGTTGAAGAAAGCTTTTGTTTACATACATATACCACAAAAATGGAATTTCGCAATAATTGTGCTATATTCAGATCAACGATGACGAGAAAGAGTCGACAGACAAAATATTTGATTAGGTCTTAATTATGTTTGATTAATTCGCAATTACATTTGATATATTCCAAATTTCATTTGATTATCCCCAATTGCATCCGATATATTCCCAATTACACTTGACTTTTCTCAATTACATTTAATATATTCACAATTACATTTAACTTTTCCCAATTACTATTCAATATAGTCGCAATATCACTTGACTATTCGCAAAATCTATTGATAAATTCGCAATATAAATTGCTATATTCGCAATTACATGTGGAAAAGGTGTAGTTTGGTAAAGTAACATTACTAATTCCTGTTGAAAGGCGAATTGACAAAAAATGGAAAATCTTCCAAATTCTGACTTTGTATAATAAGTTATTTTTCAGGTACAAATAAATGGATTGTTGCGGAACTTACGGGTGGACCTCTGCGGGACGAGCGCAGCGAGTTCCGCAGCCATCTACTCACCAATATACTGTTGAACTGTTCAAGTAAGACATTCATCTAAATGTAGTTTTTGAACTAATGAGAAAAACTCACGACTGAGAGAATCAAGTTAGTATTGTACTTGAACAACATATTGGTGAAAAAATGGCTGCGGAACTCGCTACGCTCGTCCCGCAGAGGTCCACCCATAAGTTCCGCAACAATCCACTCGTTTGTACTTGAATAACTTGTCACATTATGTTACTACACCTTTTCCATCTGTAATTGCGAATATATCACTTAATTTTAGGAATAGTAAAATAATATTGCGAATAAATCAAATCTAATTGAAAATAGTCACTTGATATTGCGAATATATTAAATGCAATTGAGAAAAGTTAAATATAATTGCGAACACATCAAATGTAATTGAGAATAGTTAAGTGTAATTACGAATATATCATATGTAATTGGGGAAAATCAAATAAAATTAGTAATAAATCAGATGTAATTGAGTCTTTTAATTTTTCAATCAACATATGTATGTTGTTGCTAAAATAACTAAGTCTGTTGTTGAAGAAAGCTTTTGCTCACATACTTATAGGTAGTTTTGTGTCAAAGAAAGACGACACAAAAATGGAATTTCGCAATAATTGGATTATAATATGCAGATCAACGGATCAACGATGACAAGAAAGAGTCGACAGAGAAAAAATTTGATTATGTCTTAATTATATTTGATTAATTCGCAATTACATTTGATATATTCCAAATTTCATTTGATTATCCCCA